CATCCCCCCTCCGTCTTCCTCCCCATTCCTACCCAATCCCACCCCTATTTCCATCTCCATTCCCACCTTGTTTCCAACTCCATTTTCACCCCATCCCCATTTCCACCCCTATTTCCACCCCATCTCCACCCTCTTTTCCATCATATTCCCACCCCCATTTTCATCCCCATTCCCACTCCATCCTCATTCCCATGTCACCCCTGCCACATTCCCACCCCCATTACTCCCAGTATTCCCAGTATTCCCAGTATCCCGCCCTCACTTGACGCGGAAGTCGTCGGCCGCCAGCCGAGCGTTGTCAATCTGCAGCACGGTGCGTGCATTCTCCACCGTGCTCTCCAGGATCTGGGATGGGGACACGAGGACACCCGTGGGTACAGGGGACACACGGACATGGGGGCACACGGGCGCAGATATGGGGACATGCAGGGACAGATGGACACGTGGGTATGGGGACATGGACACAAGGGGACACGGGGAAATGGGCACTCGTGGGAGGGGGGCATGGGGAGACACGTGGACGTGGGGGTGCACGGATGGGGCATGTGTGGAGGGACACACGGACATGAGGGGACACGGGTGGACACACACAGACACGGAGACACAGGTGAACACATGGGTATGGGGGGGACAGGTGAGTGGGACACATGGACNACCGGGGGTCGTTGTCGGGATGGTGACAAGGAGGGGGTACAGGAATCCATCCCTCCCCTGACAGCTCCCCACACCCCGTGCCTCAGTTTCCTCCTGGTCTCAGCCCCATGTCCCCACCCCTGTTTTCCCCCCCCGGAAGGACACACCAACACATCCCATCTCCCATTCATGGGAATCAGCACTTTATTGGGATCTGGGGGGAGCTCGGGGACCCCCCCGGGTTTTGGGGGCCGGGGATTCCCCGTGACCCCCTCAGTATGTGCGGATCTTCACCTCCCTGGTCTCGGTGATCACGCGCTGGGTGGGCCCTGTCCCTGCCGTGGTGGCCGTGGTCTCCTTGTCCAGGGCATCCCTCAGGCTGCAGGGATGGGGGGTTAGGGGTGGGGGCACCCAGAGGTCCCCTCTCCACACCGGTCGTGTCCCCCCCTCAGTGTCACCCAACAGGTGATGGAGATGGCATGTCCAGTGGGATGGGCTGGGGTGTCCCAACACCCTGGACATTGTCCCCTCGGGGTGTCCCCCCTGTCCCCTGGCTGTTCCCAAAAATCTTGTAACTGCTGGGACCCGGCCACTGGGACACTTGGGATTCATCCCCTCTGATGTCACCGTTGTCCCCATCCCCAGGCCATCCTGAAGGACAGAGCTGGGATATGTGATGTCCTGGGATCATCCCCCTGGATGTCACTGCTGTCCCCTGGCTGTCCCCAGAATCTTGTAACTGGTGGGACCTGGACACCTCATCACAGGGGTCTCATCTGCTCTGGGTGTCCCCTCCCCATGCCAGGGACAGCACCTGGACACTCAGTTCCTGGCATTATCCCTTTCCATCCCCTTCCCATCCCCTTCCCAGCCCACAGACTCCCCCCTCTGTCTCCATTTCCCCCTCACCTCAATTTCCATCCCTCTGAATTTTCCCCCCGAGCCCTTATATCTGAACTCACACCCAAACTTCCTCACCTGAACTCTCTGTGCTCACCTTCCCCCAAAACCTGAATTCCCCCCTGTCACCTGAGCCCCTGTACCTGAATGCCTGCTCCACATTCTCCCCCTGTCCCTGAACTCCTCTCTGATTTGAACTCCCACCCCCTGTACCTGCCTTCCTTCCCCTTCTCACCCAAAGCACCCATATCTGAACTATACCCTCAAATTCCCCCCTCACCTGAACTTCTAACACCCCATACCTGGATTCCTTCCCTCTCCATCAAATTCCCCCCCCCGAACCCTCTCCTACCTGAACTTCCCTCTCACCTGAACCTCCCTGAACTCCTCCCCCTCACCTGAACCTTCCCTGACCTGGACTCCCCCCATCACCTGAACTTCCCCTCTCACCTGATCTTGCCCCC